AGCAGCGCACCTGCAGGTGGGAGGACGTTGGCACACGGGCGCACGCGCCGCCCGGCCCGCCTGGTAGGCCGGGGTGAGTCGCCTGGCGTAGGTAGGCCCGACTACTCGTCTGGCCGGTATAGGCAAAACAACCCCCCCTCTCCCTCCTTCCTCACCGCCACGACGCGTCAAGTTCAGGGCCGCACGGCGGCCGCTTACATCATAACCGCAACCGCCACTGTAACGCTCCAGTTAGTTCTCAGTAGCGCTAACCGCCCCACCGTGTGTGTGTGTGTCTGTGTGTGCGTGAGAGGGAGTGAGAGAGAGACAGAGAGAGAAACAGAGAGACAGGCGGGCGTAAACCACTTTCGATTTCGTTTGCAGCAATAAATTAGCGGACGGTGCCGACAGAGCAAACAGGCCGCGGGGAGGGGCATCAGCCAGCATCAGGCCGGAGCACTTGCTGCCAATCGGACGCGGTGAGCAGCGGAGGCAGAAGTGCACGCGGGCCACCTGCAGGAAGGGGTTAAGGAGAAGTGGGGAGGCAGGCCAGGAAACTACCTTAAGCTGGGCATCCTCCCTCGCTGTTATTTGTTTTGTTTTTTTCCTTTTTGCTTTGAGGTCCTTTTGTCCTTCGGTGGACTGAAGGGGACTTATTTTTATGGCGGAGAGACAGTCCGCCGTTGTCTGTCGGTTTCCACGATCCGTGCCAAACCCCCGCGGTGCCCAGGCAGGCGGTGCCCACGGCCCACGGGACGGTCACGCGCTCCGCCGAGTCATGCTGCACCTGGGCACGCCGCCGCGGCCGCCGCGTCCAGACGATACTGTCTCGCCTCGGCGCGACGCGACGCGGCAGAAGGACGTCTGTACTTGAGCGTAATGCTGCTGCCCCTTCTCCCTCCTCCCCCCTTCCTCAAGGCGGAGACGCTCCCTCCAGACTGGCGGACCAACAAACGAACGATACGACGCGACGCGACGCACCTTGGCCGAAAAACAAACGACAGCAAAATACTGATCGCGCTGCGAGGTACTTGGGCGCGTCCTCCTCAGGGTCCACGAGGGGCGGGTCCTGACGTTCGATCCCCACCCCGGTCCCGGTGGTCCCGAACGACCTTGCTGGCTTGGACAGCTGTTCGGGTTTGAGATGCGGGTCGCCACGGCCAGGCCCAGGCCACGAGACGCCGACCCCGGGCTACCCCACCTCGGCTCCTGCCTCGCACGTGGGTCGGCATATGGCTTATCAGATAGATTTATTTCTCATTTCAGTGAATGGGTGTGAGTGCTATGCAACGCATTCAGCCGTTTGGCAACGCATTATACGCCGCTAGCGGGTCCAGAAAGGGATATTCTCAAGGTGATTCTCTATCTCGCTGAACAACACTGGCTTTGAGAGGCCATCGGCGCAGCAGCTGCAGGTTTGTTAGTGCCACGCGCCTCGCCCTCAACCACCCCCGCCCCCGTGCCCCGCGCCTACCGGTGCCGTTCATAGTCCGATCAGACCACGTTCGGTCTCGCGGCCACTGACCCCAGCCTCCGCTGGACAGAGCTGACTGAGTGTGGGGCCGGCCGGCTGTCCAGGAGGCGCGTCCACCTTGACAGCATCCCTCGCGTGCCGCAGACCAAAGTCTAACAGCGGCGTCCGCCCCTCCCGGCGCCCCACCTCGCCCCGCACCGCCCCGCGCCAGAGGAGGAGAGCCCCCGATCGGGAGACGAGACAAAGAGAGCTCGGCCCAAGTCGAACAAACGAAAACCAATACTAGCAATAACAATGCAAATTCGTTGTCGGACGTCAATCACTCGGTCTGTGCTGCGCTGCGCTGTGTACGCGTGCTGCCGTACGGGACCGGACAGATCGTAGGCACGCGGGCCGGGCCCGCCGGCGGGCTTAATTGCGATGATTGGCAGAACAATACCTGTTATTGCCCTTTCCGTTCGGGAAGTGCACTACGGCATTAACCCCCCGCTAAAAAGCCGACATCGACACCGGCTGGGCTGGGCTGGCGGTGCTGGCGCGGCGTGGCGCCCCCCGAGGATGTATTCCGGAAACAACACACGCTGCGCCGCGCGCGAGTCGTCTCTGGAGTCGTCTAGCTCCGCTCGCTCGGGTGATTGCCGATGTGTGCCGTGCACACCGTGCCCCGCGTGCCGTGCGTGTGAGGAGCCAAAGAATAGGGCCGGCTCCATCAATCATGCTTGTGACCCTCCGGCCGCCTGCGGCCCCTCCGGCCACCGCCACAATGTGCCGAACACCTTCCGGGGACCACCGAGAGCACGCCGGCCGCAATGACGTGGGCGACCGCGGGTCGTAGGCATAGGTCGCGCTATTTGCCTCTGTCTCTCTGTCTCCGTGTCTCTCTTTCTCTGCCTCTGTCTCTCTCTATGTCTCTCTCTGTCGGTATCTCTCTCGCTCCCTCTCTCTCTCTCCAACCCAATAAATATCAAAAATAAAAAAATAACCTGTCTCTCTCTCTCGCACGCACCGAAAGGTCGGGCACACGCCTAGCCGCTTGTTACTGGTGGCGTCGCTGTCCCGTGTGCCCCCCATGGGTGGCCGACGGGCAGGGACAGGAGGGACGCGAGGGGCGCGCCCGGGGCGAGGCGGGGCAGGGAGGCAGGGGAGGGCAGGGAGTGGTTCCAAGAGGACAATCTCCCAGATCGGAAGATTGACCATCGCCGGAGAGAAGACGTGACCTTGGCGACATCCGCGAAGGCTATCTCAGCAGACGTAACGGCAACGGTCTGGAGCTCGAATTTAAATAATATTGTTCGAGAAGAATCCTACTGACATTCACCTTGACGCTTCCCTATCCTATGGGCGAACTCAACACCCGCACCAGCAGCGGCCTGTTGGCGTTGGCGGTGACGTCAGCCCTCCTCTTCCTCCTCACACCTTGTTTCTCACCCACCGCGCCTCTACCCGTGTTGCAGTGCACGACGCCTCCGCCAAGCTGCCCTCCGGCATCCTCAACGGCAACGTGAACCAGTTCGGCGACTTCCACCAGTGCATGTCGTCGGGCAGCCCCGACGGTGAGGTGCAGGGCCAGCACTGCGTCGCCTACCTGCAGCTGCTGCTGCGCCAAGAGTACCCCAGCAGCGCGCTCCAGCCGCACCCCGTGCTGGCCGCCATCTACGACGGCGTCTACTCGCACCACGCCTTCCGCAGCAACTTCGAGGACGTGAGTACGCGGTGACCTGGCGGTGGCGCGGACCGGCGAGGTAGGCAACCCATCATATTACGCGTCCTCGAACTCGTTCTTCTCGTTGCAGCCCGGACACCGCGTGCCCCGCTTCTCCACCATCAACTGGGGCGTGTGCGTGCCGGCCGCGTGCTCCGCCCAGGACGTGGCGCTGCAGGTGGAGGCCTGGAGCCGCGCCGTGACGGAGGGCACGGGCATTGCGCTGAGGGTGCGCGTCGACCAGGACATGTGCCAGGTGTACCGGCCCTGGACCAGCATGCCCACCTCCTCCATCCTCGCCACGTGAGTAGCCAGCGAGAAACGTTGATGTGGCGTTGGTTTGACTGCGGAGGTCGATATTGATCTAGATCATCCAGAAAGCATGTCCGTCATTCGCCGTTACGAACCTGCTGAGTTCAGCCCCTGCAAGCTCCCAAAGTGCCTGGTACGTAGGCAATGTCTTGCCTGCAGTGCATGTGTGTAGTGCGGGGTGGCCTACCTTGGGTCTCGCAGGCGCCGAGCTTCCGTGATTTGCCGAATGATTTTGAGAAAAGCGGACATACTTTAAGGACGATCCCAATTCGACGTCGACAGTCGAAGCCCTATCACTAGGTCATTCCCCGAAGTGGTCGTCAACTCGGGTGTTGTATCCGTGTCTCCAGGGCCTTCTTCATCGGCGTGCTGCTGCTGGCGGGCGTGGCCACCTGCTACGACAACCACCTGCAGAAGGCGGCGGCCGCGGCCGAGGCAGAGGGGAAGACCGACGCCAAGGTTTCGGACAGGGGACTCGCCGCGGACCTGTTCCTGGCCTTCTCGCTGCGCAAGAACACGACTGCCCTGCTGTCCACCAGGAGGTCCAGCGACGACATAGAGAGCGTCCACGGCATCCGCTTCTTCAACGCCATGATGCTGGTCCTGTGCCACAAGTCGATGTCTGTCTTCTACAACGGCTACAGCAACCGGACGGAGATGAGCGAGGTAGGCCACTCCATCACAGCAGCACACACTGACAACCACCTGTAGACAACTTAATTTAAGATAAATGTCTTCCCTTTCTCTATTTTAACGAGTCTTATTGCGTCTTATTGCAGGGCATTGGGCAGCAATGGACTGTCGTCGCGCGCGCCGCCAGCCTGTACACTGACCCCTTCATCATGCTCAGCGGGCTCCTAACATCATACGCTTATGTGAAAAAGCTGGAGAGGGGACAGAAAATTCATGTTGTAGAAGAGCTAAGAAACCGGCTTATAAGGTAAAACAAAATAATCCACAGTTTTATTAATTTCAAAATGTTAATTTACTTGTTTAATATTTTTAAAATTTTGTCTTTGTTTTGTTAACATTAGATTGGTTCCCTCACTGGCTGCCCTCATCTTGTTCTGTTCATTCGTACTTCCCTGGTTGGGCTCTGGGCCAATGTGGAACCTTGTCATCAAAACTCACTCAGACATTTGCAAGCAGCATTGGTGGAGGAATTTACTATTCATCCACAACTGGTTTGGTTTTGAAAATATGGTAAGTCTATGTTGGTTTTTTGATTATTCTCTGTGTGAACATGGTTTTTGATTTTTCTAAATATCAAGCTATACTTGTTATGTTAGATCCATTAGAAAACAACTAATTAATTTTCCATATTTTTCAGTGCCTCACTCACACTCATCATGTTGGAATAGATACGCAATTATTTTTAGTCTCTCCCATATTTGTTTGGCTTCTCTGGTCCAGACCTAAGCAGGGTCTTGTTATTCTGGGAGCAGTGTCTGCAATTTCTACCGCACTGAGATTTTACTTTACTTACCACCATCAACTAAGCTTCTTTGTGTACTTCGGCTCATCGTAAGTGAACAACTCCATATCACAAATTCTTTCGGACTTTCTAACTTGCTAACTAAGCACTTCATCCTTTCCCGTATAGAGTTTCACAAATGTTCAGGACAGCTGATCTATCCTACATAATGCCAACACATCGCCTCACTGTTTATCTAATGGGTGTAGTGCTTGGATATGCTCTTCGTCATTGTGGTCGTGACTTCAAATTGAAACAGGTACTCCAAAACATAATTAATAAAGTACTAATTAATATTTTTTGCAAAGCATTTAGTAATATGTGAAAGCTTAGTTCAGCTGCTACTTTAGATTTTTGTATACCATTAGAACTGCCTTTTTTATTTTTCAGTCACACTTAACTCTGGGATGGACCTTAGCAGCCATATGTTTGTACCTATCAGTGGTGACACCCTCTTTCATGGGGAAAGTAGGCTACAGATATGAAGCCATTCACGCAGCAAATTATGCTGCATTTGCTCCAATCACTTGGTGTTTCCTATTTGGCTGGATTATTTTTGTATCCTACATAGGCAAGGGAGGTAAGCAAAAACAATTTCTTCAAGTGCATATTGATAATCAAATATTCATTAAGATGTACTAGACACTTAACAATTTTGTTCTATCATTACCAGGAGCTATTGGACGCTTCTTCTCATGGCATGGATTTCTTGTTTGCACAAGACTGTCCTATGCCCTTTACCTCACCCAATTCCCTGTTTTCTTCTATAATGTTGGACTCACAAATGCTCCTATCCAATACAGCGTGTTCATCATGGTAATTTTAACCCTAGTTACTATTAATTGATGGAATTCCTCCTTGAATCACTTGAAATACTTATATCCATTTTCTTTGGTTCCAGTTCAATGTAAAAGAGACCATCGCAATCTTCATCGTATCTGCTCTCCTCACCATACTTTTTGAGATGCCAGCACAAAACATTAAAAACGCTATAAGTAGATACAGGAAAGCTTTACCTGCTGGCAAGACAGTAGGGAGCATCCAGGAACCTCAGAAGTTAAAAGTACAGTAATTGTGGTCAAAGTGATTGCTTTAAACCCAACAAAAATAAGTCATATTTATTGAACAAAACTAGCAATTGAACTATACTTGGTCAATATGAGCCACAATAGGAGAATTCAAAAACGGCTTCCGTACACAGGGTACTACAAAAACAATCTTAGTAAATCCTTAGCAACGAAATGAGTGCTTAAGCTAGAGGGGGTTTAAGGCAAAATGGTTAGCATGGTGAGAATTTATGAATAATTCGAGTGTCATTTAGAATTGTCCTTTATCAGTTAAATATCAATTTCAGCTGAAGGCCATTCAGCAGTAAGTATTTATTATTTTACCTACAATGTATGCAATTTAGATAATAAGTTTGTTTTACCCCAGTGTAGAAACAGTTGTAAATAATTGTGATATATCAAATAATTTTAGTCTAAGTTGGGCCATGCTTGAAATGTAAAGCAAGCAAAGAGCGCTGCTCCTTTTAACACTGTATACCTAAGCCAGACTTTAGATGCCACTTAACGTGACCGGGCGCTAGAAAACTGCAACTGCTGTATGCAGCCAGCCGAGAGGCATTCATACGCTGGTCCAAGTGGATACCCTACAAACAATGGTGTTTCTGATGCCCATTTCCAGTTGAGGAATTTCCAAGCACAAGAGGTTTCAGTTCAAATGTATGAGCATGGTTGCACTCAAGTGCAGAAGGCTGTGATATTGTTTATAAAATACTGCAAATGCATGTATAGATGTAATCTCCGAAACTAAATAAAATTGTTATAGAAATGTATTATGTTGCTTGTACCCCTCATGTCCTAAAAGATGGATTTTGAACATGGTGGCCACAAAATTTTCCTTTCCATTTTCATTGAGTTTTCCCTTTCTCCCTTAAGTTCCCCTGAGTTTTAAGCACCGTTACTGGTGATAAATAAGGCCAAACAAATACCCCCTCATCTAAGCGTGCTTACCGAAGCCCGTAGTCCTATCATAGAAGACCGCAAGCAAAGCAAGCACGAGATATAGGGTCAAAACACCCTCGGGGGACATCAAAATTCGTGTTAGACGCAACCCGCGAATAAAATGCAATTTGGGGACCAATCAGAACCCCACCTGACCTTTTTTCATGTTCCCTGAGTTCCCTCTTTTCCTTGACATATTATTTCACTGAGTTTCAGATTTACAAGGTTTTCCAGACTTGTGGCAACCATGTTGAAGTGCAGCATTTTCCACAAGGGATAATAGAAAAGGATAATTGAAAAACAAAGATAGAAATTGCGTCTCCCCTTTAATTCATGATGAACGAAGGAATAAGCAATGAGTTACAGCTTACGAGTCAGCGATGGTAACCTCAACCTCGACACCAGGTTCGATACTGATGGAAGTAATCTGCTTCACAATCTCGGACGGGCTGTGAAGATCGATGACTCTCTTGTGGATCCTCATCTAACAAATGAGACAGAATGATTAGAATCCGGGGAAAGGGTAGAAAGAATGTTAGTACATGACTGCTCAAAGAACTTGGAAATTCCGCACAACACACACCTGGAACCTATCCCAAGTCTTTGAACCTTCACCGCAAGGTGTCTTTCTTGTGGTAATCCGGAGGATCTTGGTGGGCATGCGGACTGGGCCCTTCACACGAAGCTTCTGCTTCTTGGCTCCATTGATCAAATCAGTGCACACTGTAAGAAGATAAAGACGGAATCAGGCGAGCACAGAAGTGCAAAACACGATGGGTACTAATAATTAAGCTTCAAGTGACTATAGAGAAGTGCAAGACTTCCAAAAGTAGCAATCAAAGGCAATAACATAAGTGGATACAGGCAGTACTACCAATTTTAGATTAGACGCCAACATGCCGGATGCCGCCAAACACAAACCGGGCTCGGGATACTAACCTTTCTCCAAGCTCCTGACGTTTCTGGAGGTGAGGGTGATACGAATCCTGTGGATCAGGGCCTGCTCCACGGGCTTTTCGGGATCCTTGTAGGTAGCGGTACTCTGTAGAAAGATGAGCACAAAATTTAGTCAACAAACAAGTACATTCACGTGTATTCGGGAAGGTTAGGTAACACGTGGCGTCAAGTAATATTTCACATAGAATCTCATAACGAGGAACGGTAGATTCTGCCTTGATCACGTGAACGGCAGGTCGATAATTTAAGACAACTTACCATTTTATATTCTGGTCGAGATAATGCAGTTGCGATCAGCGCTGAACCAGAATCCGGGAGACTCTAGTGACTACACTACACCATTACTCGGTGCAGAAGAATGAGATCGGGTGAGTTCTGTTTCCGTTGCCGGTTCGGCTGCTTAATGTTTCATACATTTTTCCATCGTTGCTTAATTTTTCATACAATTTACCTCGATATATCGAATGTTTCGCGCGTTTTCGCGGGACAAAACAACTCGAAAACAACCAGTCAACGAAAAACTGTCAAGGAATCCATTCCCTGTTCCTTGTCAGTTTTGTCTTTACCATATTTTTGGAAAAAATGGCTGAAAAATCTTCAAGTGTTGAACCTCCGGTCAATGGCCAGGAAGCAGATGATGACGAAAGTAACGCTATTACTATGGTGGATGTTTTAAAAGAGGAGACTGAATTGGAAGAGGATGCCAATGCGGTGTTGGGTGGATCTGATCCCCTAAATTGCACTTACCCTCAGGTATTTTAAGTTTGTACGCGTTCGACGTCGTGCTTAATCAATTCATTCTGCACGGATAATCCCCTTAGACGTCAACTTTCCCTCGTTAGTCTGACTAGGCAAAGCTGTCAACATAACCTGAAGAGATTCCAATCCTTAGCTTCTTCACTAGTTCATTTTCATTTTTACCGCTAGTCTCGCCCCTCTTTGCTCCTTTATTCGAAAATGATATTTCCTTCATCGTATTATTTCTGGTTTGTCAATAAAGCCATTGTCCTTTAAAATTATGACCTTGATTTTCTTTTGTGACAGGGCTATGTGAAGCGTCAAGCTCTTTATGCTTGTATTACATGCATTCCAGCTGGCTCTGACCAAAAAAGAGGTGGTGTATGCCTTGCTTGCAGTTACAGCTGCCATGAGAATCACGATCTTGTAGAGCTGTACACCAAGAGGTAACACATGCTGACACCTGGCACACAATCTGAACTTACGATGTTCATTCATCAACATGTTTTCATAATTTTCATCTTGTAGGAATTTTCGCTGTGATTGTGGCAACTCACAATTTGGCAGCAACAAGTGCAACTTGGAGCCAGTGAGTGAACTTTTCTTATTATTATTTTATTTACACTCTACTGCAATGTTTTAATTGGAATAATTTCTTGTGTAGGTGAAAGAAGTAAATGAAAAGAACAAGTACAATCAAAATTTTAAAGGAGTGTACTGCACTTGCAAGAGACCATATCCTGATCCAGAAGACACCAGTGATGATGAAATGATCCAATGTATAATTTGTGAAGACTGGTATCATGGCAGGGTAGGTTACATTTGCTTTCTAGATATTAGTACATATATTTCATCATTGATGTATTTCAAGTTGGATTGTTATTTTAATTTGTGTTGTTTGTTATAGCACTTGGGAGTTAACAAAGCAATTCCAAAAGATTACGGTGAAATGGTCTGTGAACAGTGCATGAGCAAACATTCGTTTTTGTGGAACTATGCTGGATTGTGTTGTAAGTTTATAGTTTAACCTGAATTACTTTCATTCATGTCATGAGGAGTGTGCTCTTTAAAGCATTTATCTTTTACCTTCAGTGACTAAAGCAACTTCTTCTGATCAAGAAGTAGAAGTGGATCAGGATCCCTCTACTTTCAAACAAACCTCTGCTTCAGATGATGTAGAGCCATCCACACCCACAATTCCTATCAATGGTTCAGCAGGAGTTGATTTCAACACCCCTGGCTCTTCATCCCAAAAGGTAGTACATACTATATATTTTGTATCCTGTCTTTCGTAATTCCATTCACTTTTTGCGTTTTTTGTAACATTTTAATTTTAAAAATTTCAGAGCAATATTGAAACACCTATTCATGATGGTAAAGGTATGTTGTACCACCTAACGTGTTTTTCCCTATATTCTCTACATGTATGTTCATTTCAATGAAATTACACTAATTAAAACTCAACATTTTCTTTCTCTCTAGAATGTATTTTGATGAACTTTAAACCAGTTGAACAACTTAAGGGAGCAACATTTTGGCCTGAAGGCTGGCGCAAACAGTTGTGTCTTTGCATCAAGTGCCTGGTAAATTATTCAATTTCCATTTAGTTGTGACTTGGTTTCTTATTTTTGACATCTTACCTAACCCAATAATCACTTT